CTAACCTAATTGTGTAGTCAAGTCACCTGTTTATAGTTGTCTGTATATTCCAGAGTGTGTGCTGAGCACATGAGACTAAGAATTTGGATAGCTCATCTGAGAGGCCAGGGCCAAGCCTGTCTCAGTGCTGAGAAAACTAAAACTAAAACAATATCATAACATAACAACTGGAAATTTTGGGTTGAAGTGCTGGACACACAATTGGAAGTAATTGTCTATGGCTGTCTGGAGGTCTAGGAATTACCTGTTAAAATGAAAATGCCTCTAAATATGAAATAACTTCAGTTGTTGGTAACGAGTAAAGCAGAAGAGGCCAACCAGCCAATTTGTGTACATCAGCCCAGTCCTGCAGGAAGGGGGCCCCAGATAGGACTATCAGATAGGGTGCTGGAATCCTGATCAGGGCAGTTAAAGGCAGAGCATCAAAGACCGGCTCATGGGCCTTCACGAATGTTTAGGAAGCTGTCCTGTGACATCCTAATAATACTCAGATGATCTCAGATGAGTCACTCCCATGACTTCACTTCCCCACTTTACTGTGACATGGAGACAGTCAGGTGGCCAGGATGGACCATTTCCCTTGGCCTCCTGCCATACCCTCTGTACCGTCTCATTACCACCACTGCATCATCAACCACACCCTCTGCCCACATGTGGCTTCCCAAGATGCTCTGGGCTGAAGGATTGACATAGGCAACACTTTACTTAATCCCTACAACCCTGAGACCTAGATACTGTTACTGTGTCTACTATGCAGAGGGGAAGTAGAACTTTCTAGAGGCTAACTAGCACATCTGGTGTCCCATGCCAGGGAAGGGAGAATGCAGGGCCTGCTCTTGGCGGCTTAGCTCCTGCTTAGAAGGCCAGAGCTTCTATTGCTAGATTTTTCCGAGTCAGGGGCTGGCAACTTTTCCTGCAAAAGGAAAGTATTTTAGGCTTTGTGGGTCACATATGGTCTCTCCTCTTCCTTATCCCTTTTCATCAACTTACTTATCTGTAGCTGCAGTCTTTCCTGAAAGGTTCTGGTGTCAGTGGGATGAGTGGCTGGTCACAGCTCATTCACATTATAATAATTATCCATTAGATGCTCTGCTAGTGGAGGATGAGGATGATCCTGGAGAGAGGATCTGAGTTCAAACCCGAGGTGTTCCTCAGCCTATGACCCTCTATACATTTCCCATCCATCTTTCTTTCTTTCTTTCTTTCTTTCTTTCTTTCTTTCTTTCTTTCTTTCTTTCTTTCTTTCTTTCTTTCTTTCTTTCTTCTTTCTTTCTTTTTCTGTTTTTTTGGTCTTTTTTGAGACAGGGTCTCCTTATAGCCCTAGCTGTCCTGGAACTCACTAGGTAGACCAGCATCCAGGCCTGTGAGCTCAATAAATCTCTTTTTTTTATGTAGAACTCAGCCTCAGGCATTTGATATAGAAATTAAAGATGGACTAATCACTAACTGTGTAAGGTGAAATAGTGGTGAGCTATGAGTGGTCAATTATTTCTCAGCTGGGCAATTGCTAACACCTGGCTTTTGTTCAAGGCCCATAGTAAGAGTAGAGAAGTTGAGAGGGCAGGTTGGTGTCAGAATGCCCTGAGAGTCACGAGACTGCAGTGGATCAGTCCTTAAGACTTGGAGGGGGGGCAGGATCCTCGGAATACAATGATGTAAAACTTCTTTCTTTAAAAATTAAAAAATTCCATTTATTATTTTTATTTTATGTGTATAAGTGTATTGCCTGTATATATGCAAGTGCACCCATATTGTGCAATGCCTGCAGAGGCCAGAAGAAGAAGGTGTTGGATCTCCTGGAAGTGGAATTATGGACAGTTGTGAATTGCCTTGTGGGTGCTGGAAACTGAACCCAGGTCCTATGCAAGAGCAGCCAGTGCTCTTAACCACTGAGCCATCTCTCTAGTTCCAATTTTTATCTTTTTATAATTAAAATTTTTTTTATATGTATGAGTGCATTGCCTGCATTTATGTGTCATGCAATGCCCGTGGAGGTCAGAAGAAGGCATCGGATCCCTTGGAACTGGAGTTACGGATGGTTGTTAGCTGCCATGTGGGTGCTGGGAATCGAGTGTGGGTCCTCTGCAAGAGGTCAGTTCTCTTAACCACTGAGCCATCTCTCTAGCCCCTAAAAATTCTTTTAGGGTTGAGAAGATGGCTCAGTGGGTAAAGGCACTTGCTGCTAAGCCTAATGACCTGTTTGATTCTTAGGCGTTACATGGTGGAGAGTGAGAACTGACTCTAGCAAGTTGTCCTGGGACCTCCACATGTGAGGTGATACCTCCCACTACCCCCCACTGTAAAAAAAATTTTTTTTTAAAGTTCTTCTACTTACCCATTCCCCTGTATTACCTACCCTTCCTCCTTTGCTTCCTTCTTCCCTTTCTGATCCTAACTGCTGGGGAGGCTGAGGCAGGGAGATCATCTGAAACCAAGAGTTTCAGGCCAGCATAGGCAATAGACTGAAACCAGATTTCAGTCCCAGAAAAAAAAGTAAAGAAAAGAAAAACCACCAGCATATCTTGTCAGGTTGTCAGATCTATTTTATTTCAGAATATAATATAACCAGGATTCCTAGCTCACCCCTTCTACCCTGGTCTAAGTCACTGTCATCTCTTGTCAAAAGTTTGCTTTAGCCCATATACCACTCAGACTTTCCTGGCTGTAACAAACTGCCCAACAGAAGTAATTTAAAGAAGGGAGGGTTTATTTTGGTTCACAGTTTCAAAGTTTCAGGCAATGGGAAGTTGGCTCCATTAGCTGAGCCTGAGGAGAGGTAGCCCACCATGGTGTTAGGAGCTCATGGAAGAGGAGTCTGCTCACCTCACGCTGACAGGAAGCAGAGAGAGACTATCCACATTAGCATAGGCTTTCTTTCCATCCTTACTCCACCTGGGCTTCCAGTGAATGGGATGGTGCCGTCCCACACTTGGGCACGTCTTTCCTTTGTGGTCTTCTTTGGAAATGCCTTCACTGACACACCAAACTGTGCTTCACTCATCTGCTGATGGGTGTTTCTTTAATCTCATCAAGCTGATAATCAGGGTTGACCATCCCAGCCCCCGACTACACTCCCTACTTTTACGCTCACCTTGCTGGACAACCTTCAGACTGTTCTCCTCGGAGCACTTAGCACCATCCTCTGCCAGCATAAACCAGCTCATGTTACTGCTCAGCTCAAAACTTCCTGGTGGTCCTCCATCCTTCCCAATTGCCCTCACTGGCCCCAGCCTCATAGGTGTTCCCGCTGTCCACTGCTCTCTGGCCTTAGCTCTGCTCACTTCACTTGGTTGTGTCTTAAGCTCCTGCCTTGGGGTCACTTTGTCTACTTCCTTAGATAGCTTCTCCACAACCTTTCCATATCAGTCCTGTGCCACCAGCCCCCATCACCTCTTCCCTTACTTTATTCTCTTCCTCATGTATTAATTACTCATTTTTGTTGCTGGGACCAAATACCTGACAAGAAGCAACTTGTCTGTCATGTTTGGGAAGACCTGGTGTCAGGAGCATTCCATGGCTGGTCACATTGCATCCACAGATCAGAAAGCAGAGAGGGGACAGGAAGCGAGGGCAAAGGCCGGCTCCCCAGGAACCTACTTCCTTCAGCTAGGCACCACCTCCTGAAGGTTCTACAACCTTCCAAAATAGCGCCACCAGCTAAGGACCAAGTGTTTGAACACATGAACCTGAGAGGGACATTCCACATTAAAACCACAGCCCTGGCACTCTCTGCTACCTGCACATATTTGTGTTCTTGGCCCTGACTTTTCCCTGTGCTGTCTCATTGACTGTCTGGGTTACCACCTCCACCAGCCTGGTCATGCAGTGCTCTCAGCATGTGCCACCAGAGCTCAGTGGCTATGGTATGGCTGGAGGGCAGTGTTGGGGGCATTTGCTTAAATAGTGAGGAAGCACAGTTCCTCTGCAGGAGGCCTACAAAGTGCAAGGTGTGGTAGGCCCATCAAGCCTGCCAGGCCAGGGCTTTGACATCAGTTTTGGTGAGTTTGGATACTGATGGGGCACCAGGAGGCAGGAGCCAAAGGGATGGAAATTTCCATTAATCGTGAATCTTTGCCAAGGGTGATCAGAGCAGGAGCACAGGGATGAGAAGGGGCATTGGGGTTGGAGAGGAGGGCTGACTGGCTGGTGGGAGGATTTGGCTGTGGATTCCGGCTGGAGCTCTGCTATTGTCTTTCAGGCCTATTTGTTTATTTGGCCAGTTGTTTGGCTTTGGTCTTTTCTTGGTGGCCAGTTCCTGCTCAGTTCTAGAGGAGATGAGTCAGTACTAGCTGCCAGATACGGGAATCCAAACCTTCCAGGAATTGTTGGGGTGGGAGAGAGCAAGCCAGGCCCTGGCTTCCCCTGTGGAGGCCCCAAGGGCACGTGTCAGCTCCTGTGGGATGTGAAGAGCTATTCTTTTTGGTTCCTTATAACACCCATTTGTTCACTTGGTTGGCAAACATTTGTGAGGTGCTACATGCCTCCAACATGCTAGGCACAGTCTTAGGCAGGGATGAGGAGATAGGTCAGTGGGTAGAGAGCTTGCTTCACAAGCATGAGGACTTGAGTTTGATCTCTAGAACCCATGTGAAGATGCTGGGTGTGGCGGCGCACTCTTGTACTTCTAGTGCTGGGAGGTGGAGATGGGAGGATCCCTGGGGCTCACCAAGTGAGCCCCAGGGAAATGAGACCCTGTCTCAAAGGAGATGGGTGGTATTCTTGAGGGTGATACCTGAGGCTGGCCTCTGGCTTCCACATGCACATATACTCACACCCACATGTACACCCCTCATGAGCATGCATTCATACATAATATATTTTATTTTTTGAGACAGGGTCTCCCTGTAGCCCCAGCTGTCCTGGAACTCACAGAGATCTACCTGCCTCTGCCTCCCAAGTGCTGGGATTAAAGGTGTGTACCACCATGCCCGGCTTTACATGATACATATTAAAAAGAGGAAAAGAAAATTTCAGTGTGGCAATTTTTTTTTTTTTTTTTGCATGGGAGAGTGTGAACACAGTCCCCTACTACCACAAATTATGCAGTTGCGTTTCTTGCATTTGGGGAAATCTCAGGGGTCAGCACATCCCCAGTGCATTGGATGAGCCTCGCCCTGGGAAAACCTCCCTGATCATGGTGTCTCTCCTGTCAGGTAAGTAGGACAAATTCTTATTGTAGGTTTGTGGCTCCCTTTTCGATACCCAGTCCTGTTCTCACTTAAAAATTTTTTTTTAATTTTGTTTTGTTTGTTTTGTTTTGAGAGAGGGTCTTCCTGTAGCCCCAGCTGGTCTGGAACTCACTATGTACAACAGGCTGAACTTCATCTCTACACGCTGGGATCAAAGGTGTGTACTGCTATACCTAATTTTTTCTTTTTCTATAATTAAAAAATATTTTATTATTTTTATTTTATGTGTATGAGTGTATTGCCTGCATGTATGTGAGTGCACTCGTGTCATGCAATGCTGCGGAGGTCAGAAGAGGTCGTGTCGTGCAATGTTTTGGATTCCCCTGGAACTGGAGTTAAGGATGGTTCGTAGCTGCCATGCGGGTGCTGGGAATTGAACCCGGGACCTCTGCAAGAGCAGTCAGGGCTTCCACCACTGAGCCATCTCTCCAGCCCCAGGCTTTTTCTTTTTTGAGCCAGGGTCTCACTATGTAGTCCTGGCCGGCCTCCAACTCACAGAGATCTGCCTGCTTCTGCCTGTGCTCTTAACTGCTGAGCCATCTTTCCAGTCGCAGCTCTTAGTCTTCTCCCTACCAATGCAGGCTGAGCTGCAAGGATTCCAGCCTGCATTTCAGAGTAAACAGTCAAGAGCTCAGTCAGAAGTTCTGGAACCAGCAGCTCTGGCAGGATGGCCCCTGGGAGAGTCCTGGAGGAGGTGGCCACCCCCACAGTCCTGTCCCTCCCAGCTGTGAGAGCCTATGCCTTGCTTAGGGAGTTGAAAGCCAAGCTCCAGAGATGACTTGGTTGGGCTGTGCAGCGAGGAAATCAGTGGAGGTGCAGGGCAGAGAGCAGTGGGCCGGGACTCAGAGGACCAGGATGAGCCTGGGCTTGAGCACTCCCTAGCTGTGTGGCTTTTGGCAAGTTTTCCTGAAAGTTTACCTCTTTCCCTGAAGATTAGGAACAAATTCACCTTCTCCTGCAAACTCATTGTGGTGCATGAGGCTCTGGAGAGTCATGTCTTAGAATGCCCTTATGATGGTTTGAATGAGGACTGTTTCCCTTAGGCCCCAAGTGGCATTATTTGGGGAGGCTTAGGAAGTGTGGCCTTGCTGGAGGATGCAGGTCGCTGGGCATGGGTTTTGGGAGTAGATAGCTTTGCCAGTTTTCCAGCTTGCGTTTCTCCACTTCCTGTGCCCGCCTGAAGATCTGAGCACCCAGCTTGCTGTTCTTGCTGCCTCCTGCCGTGCCTTCCCCACCATGGTGGACTCTTACCCTCTGGAACTGTAAGCCAACTAAATTATTCCTTCTATAAGTTGCCTTGGTTATGGAGTTTTATCACAGCAACAGAAAAGTAACTAAAATAGCTCCAAACTGTAAAGCCCAGCAAAAAGGATCAGCATCTACTGGGCAATCACCTTACCAGCCCTAGTGCCCACCTTGCCTTTCTCTGTTCAGTGTTCTAGCCCCACAGGCCACTTTTTGTTTTCAGTAGGCCATTCCCTCCTGCCACTGGGCCTTTGCACACATTATTCATGTGGCCTGAATTACTTTGCAATACTTTTCTAGGTTTATCCTTATTCATCACACAGAACGCAGCAGAGTTGGTATCTTTAGCAAAGCCATCTCTGCTCACAGCTTGCCATTTAGGTTGGAATCTCTTATTATAAACCACAGCATCATGTGTCTTACTCCCATCCTGGTGAGCAGCTAATTTTTTATTTTTTTATGTTTTTGGTCTTTTTGAGACAGTGTCTCCCTATAGCCCCAGCTGGCCTGGAACTTATTATGTAGACCAGGCTGGCTTTGAATGCACAGAGACCTGCCTGCCTGTACCTCCCAAGTTCTGGGATTAAAGACAGGTGCTACCACACCCGGCTGAGCAGTTAACATTTGTGTGATCTATGGCAGTCCTTTCAATGGAGCAAGTGTAAACTCCAGGAGGGTAGAGAGTGGTGTGGTGTTTTTTCTCACATTTGTATCCCTCTCAAGCCTAGCCAGGTACCAAGTAAACAGTGACTGCAGAGCGAGTGGCTCAAGGAATCTCAGTAGCTGGGATGCTGGACTTAGGTGCCTAGATTACGATCCCCAGAGTGAGAGACCCATTAAGATACTTGTCCTTTCTGAATAAGCCAGCATCTACAGATGGCCCCTTGTTCCCTGTAAGTCACTGCCTTGGCCTTGCGGTATTCTGTTGATGTCTCTCTATACCATGTGCATCAAATCACAGCGGCTTATTATTAATGGTGGGTGGGGCACACCTCCGTGTACCTGCCAGGACAGGCAGTCAGAACTAGGACTGAGAACAGCAGCCAGGGTAGAAAGAGGCCTTCCAAACGAGGGGCATAGGGGATGCAGGATGTGTTTGTAGATGCTGTTCTGTCGGGAGCTCAGCTTGGAAGACTTGAATTATTAATAAAAATTCTAGGAAGCCCAGTGAATTTCTCAGGAAAATATCCAATTAAGAGGGCATAAATTCCAAGTGTGCTTTTAAGCACCATTAAGGGTTTGTTTTTTTTTTTACTTTTTATTTTGAAAAACTTTATATCGATGTACAATATTTATAGAGAAAGTACCCAAATCATAAGCATCCAGTTGAATACCCTTTCACAAGTTAACTGTCCTCAGCATCCAGGTTAAGAGACAGAACATTACTGTCCGTCAGTGACACCCCCATGTTCCCTTCTAGTGCCTCACCAGGGTCATAGACTCTCTTGACTTCCAGCATCCTGCCAGTGTTTGTTTCTGGGTATGTGGTCCATACTTGCTCAAGTCTCCCTTCTTCCCCTCAGCGTTATGCTTGTGAAATTGACTCACACCACTGTGCATGGTTTCAGACCATTTTTCATGGCTACATAATAATCCAGTGTGTGAATGATACAAGAATCACTCCTTATCCTTGGGGAGTATGTTCTGTGACCCCAAAGGATGCCTAGAACAGGGGAGGCTACTAGGCATTAGAAATCTCATGTTATCAGCTGGGCATGGTGGTCCACACCTGTATTCCCAGCACTTGGGAGATTGAGGCAGGAAGATCGTATATTTGAGGCCAGCCTAAGCCTACATAGTGAGTAGCAAGTCAGTCAGAGTTACATAGCAAAATCTTGTTTCAAGAAACTCTAAAAATAAATAATCTTATTTCAAGAAACTCTCAAATAATAGATAATAAAATAAATACTGTTATTTCGATACATGCATGCCTATGATAAAGTTTAAGTTATAAATAAGGCACAGAAAGAAACCAACAATGATAAATAATACCAAAATAAACTCTAACAACATAATGAAATTATATTTCTAGATATCTAGATTATTATATTAAGTTTCTGGATGTGAGGGTTATCTGGCGGTGACATCTGTCACCCCAATGATTGCCAGGGTTGATTTGACTGATCTGGCTGGCTGGTGTCCCCTTCCTCCCTCAATACTCCATGGGGGGGGCCCTCCTGAAGTGTGCAGTCAGTCGTAGAGGATGACCTTGCCCTATAGAGGAGGACCAGTATTTAGTCAAGGATATGAGAGTAGCTGTGCTCCCCTGCTAGAACCTCCATACAAGTTTCTATTGATCATTTCTAGAACTTTTTATTTAAAAGTCACAAGTACAGTTGCCTGCAGGGAACTAAAACTACAGAAAACAGAACTGGGTAAGGGGGTAACGACTGTACTGCATCTTATTTGCCTCTTTACCTTTGAAGTGTTGCAGGTGTATGTGCAGAGAGATGGGACACCAAGGCGTTTCTTTTTTTCAGGAAGCAGTTTATTTTTGATAGCACCTGGCTCGGTGAGATAGCTCTCAAAATCAGAGCCTTGAACAAAGAGAAACACAGCCTTTACAGTTCAGTGTCTTGGTTTCGCTTATATGGTAGCACACATGTCCTGACTGGGTACTCCATGCTACAAGGTCATAAGAGGCAGACCTGTATGCAGGCACTCCAGCACAGACCACGCTGCATTCCTTTTTTCTTTGTTCTGGATGATTTCTACCTTTCAAGGACACCCAGATGGAAACACCAGTGGATTTGGGTCACCTTAAAAAGTATTAAAAAGTAAATTCTGGACTGGAGAGATGGCTCAGAAGTTAAGAGCACTGGCTACTCTTGTAGAGGACCTGGGTTCCAATCCCAGCACCCACATGGTGGCTAATCACTGTCCCAACTCCAGTTCCAGGGGATCCGATACCCTCTTCTGACCTCTGTGGGCATTGCACAACACGGGTGCACTTACATACATGCAGGCAATACACTCATACACAAAAATGAAAATAATAAATAAAATATTTAAAAAGTAAATCTGGGGCTAGAGAGTTGGCTCAATCGTTAAGAAAGCTAGCTTACTCCTCTTGCAGAGGACCTGAGTATGGTTCCCAGCGCCCAGGTAGGGTGACTCACAACTGCCTGTAACTCCAGTTCAAGGAAATCTGACACTCTCTTCTGAATTTTGCAGGCACTGCATTCATGTACACAAACTCACACATAAACACATACATATATACATAATTAAAAATAAAAAATTCTTTAAAAAAGTAAATCCAATTGTTTTTGTTTATAATGCTCTGTTAGTTATTGTGAAAAAACTTTCAGGAAAGGTTGAATCTGATTGGGTCAAGAATGAACTTAATTTTTTCTTAGGATTTATAGGTAGGCAGCTGGGGCTGTAACTGAGTGGTAGGGAGCTAGCCCAGCATGTGCAAGGCTCTGGGGTCCATCCCCAGCACACTCAACACACACACAAATAAACTTCTTATAAAAGTAAACTTGTATGTGTGTGTGTGTGTGTGTGTGTGTGTGTGTGTGTGAGTGTACTGTATGCTGTGCAATTGGTGTCCTCTATTACCCTCTGCCTTGTTCCTTTGAGACACAGTTTCTCACTAAATTTGGAACTTAGCAGTCATGAAGCCCCAGTAGTCCTCCTGCCTCTGCTCCCAATGGTGCTGGGGTAAAGACACTGGTGGTCATGCCTGGCTTTTTGTGTGGATACCAAGATCTGAACTCAAGTC